AATCAGCTGGGTTTCCATCGAAACACCGTGGTTCAAACTTAGGGAGTTTGATGTTCCTATTATACCTGAACGGCGAAACAGTAACATCAACCATGTCATGCTTAACATCAGACACATCGCTACAATTAACAGACAAGTCGCCATGACTTACTTTCCTGTTTGCATCCAAGACACTCTGTCCCTTCTTTGACCCAGGCATTGTTGAACTTGACCAAATTCCAAAAATGTTCCAGATATTGCTTGTTCAAAGAGGACTTGACCGGCACCAGGAAAAATGAACGGCAACTATCCAAACTTTCACCAACTGTTTGAATCCGCCAGATCTGTTTCTATCGTCAGAAACCGTCAATCACGTCTCATAAACCGTTAATGCCAAGCTCTCGCTACGCTCGGACCCACGCTGTTCCTTGAAGATTTCAGAAACGCTTGGTTATAACGGACGAAAAAACCAAAACACCGATCTGCCGCTTGAGATTTGTTTATTGTTACACCAACAGATAAAAAGAATAAGTGAACTAAGGTCTGTGAACAAATATTACAATAATAAATCATTGTATTACTTCTGACGATGTTTCACTCTTCTTTCTGAACAGCGACCGATGAGACGATGACTGTCGTATTGATGCCTTCGCGAAAATTGGGGAAGTTGATTTTGAGCAAACAACCAAGAATTGATTGTTCAATCTTCAACTCCATTGACAGCAAGCTTCAAAGTGTAACTTTGGAGATCAGCTGCATACACAACTACGTGATCGTCTAATTTCTGGAATCAATATTCCTACGTTAGAGAGAGAGTTAATTCAGATTCCTTCTTGTACCTTTCGAACTGCTAAAGATTAATGTATTACATATGAAGATGTTAACAGTGAATACTCTGCTCCCACTACATCAGTATCTGATGTCATGCTGTCCAAAGTCGAAAACACAAGTGTTCATGGAAAGCAATCCAAACTGTCGTCCACAGGTAACAGAATGCAGCGAGAGATCAAAAACATTAAACCGTGTTTTTCCTGTGGAAAGTTACATCTACGAAGCACTTGCCGTTTTCGGGGTGCTAAGTGTCACAAATGTGGTAAAGTTTGACACATCAAGACTGTTTGCAGAAGTTCGAATACTTATGTTACTCAGAATTCTTTTAATTCTCCCAATCTGTCTAGTAAAATGGAGTCAATGTGTCTTTCAACTTTTCAAAATACTCAATCTCATCCAATGAAAACCTCCACTACAAGTTCAGCAACTCAAGCGTCAACTGTTTTCAAAGATGAGGTAGCTGAGTTACAATGCGAACTGTCGAAAACACGAGAAAAACTGAATGAGATGAGAGAGGAACTGATTAAAATGGAGGAATCGCTGTATATGCATAGACTGCGTTTGTTGAATGCAGAACATACAAGTACCCATGAAAGTCCTGCAAAACTATTCAAATCTCGAATTCTCAGAGAGCATCTGATGTCCGCGACTTCTAATGTACATTATTACAAAGGTAATGACTACAGACCTTCTCTTGGAGTTATACTACAAAAAATGGGAAATTGAGTGTTGATGATATTAGACATCAAAGATCACTCAGTTCATAACAGACACCTGGACAAAGTGACAATAAATGAAGTAGGTCGTTCCAATTATAATATTGATGGTTCCGCTAATGATCCTGATTTTGTAGATAATTCAGAAATAGGTCCAGATAATACTGATGAAAATGATATCACAGAATCAGTTAGGTCGCAGCTACTTGCAAGCAAACCGAGACATCATTATAAATACGCAAGGAGATATTCGACGTGTGGCAGATGTGGTGATTGACAATTTCTATCTCTGTATTGTTCAAATACTTACTGTTGATTGTTAATATATTTCTTATATGAATTGCATTATAATTCCGCCAAATACAAATTCCCGAATTCCGCCCTCCCTGTGTTTTGGTTGGATTCTTGTAATTTGGTCATTTCGAAATACCAATACTACGATTACAAATAACTACAACAATTTGATACCATTGGGAGTAGAGCTGCTGGTTCATTACTAGTGGCATTTCGCAAAACTCCACTCTTGTGTATGGTTGGATGGCTCTTTTCCACTCCCTTGGCAGTGTCTCCGAATCCATTGAGTGTTGGAACAAGTCGCACAGGGCCCTACAGAGAGCTTCGGCGCACTGTTTCAGAACAGATGGCCTGATGTCGTCACAGCCTGAGGACTTCCCAGGTGTGAGCTGCTGTAGCTTCCTCAGTACCATTGCGGGGTTTATTTGTGGAGTAGCCACTAGATCTTCCTCCTGTGAAATAGTAGTGACACCCTTTTGGTCCGTAACGGTAAAACCCAAAACGCTGTTTAGCTGTTTGGCGAAGGCTGCACTGAATGTTTCAGCCATATCCAGACTGGTGAGATATTGACCGTTTGGTCCTACTAGGGTGCATGCCCTCTGGTTGGCTGGTTTTCTTCCCGACATGAAGTGGTACAAGTTTTTGAAGTTTGCTAGGAGTTTATTTGCAAGGTTAGCCTGGAATGACGTCCTGTCCCTCCTGACTCTTGCATTTCACCGGTTTCTGAGTTCCAGGTATGCATCGTGGACGATCTGACTCTTAGACACGAGCCACACAAACCACTCCTTCCGTTTTGCGCGTAGAATACGTTGGGTGCCTCTCTTCAACCATGATGACTGTTTTTGGGCTGTGTTGTGACTAAAGCGACGGTATCCGAGATTACTGTATGAATAATCTTTTTTATTCGACAGAGATTTGAATCAGTAACTACTTTTGAAGCGAGATGAGTTTACCAAGAACTAAATCTGGCGACAAACCATCTAGCAAACTATTTCCAAACATGTATGAAGATTGAATAGATACAGTCTGCGGAGACCATTAACTAACATTATGCAACAGGCATGCTCTTGAGTGGAGCTTGAATGGGAAATGGAGGGCTGGGTGCGGATATGACATCGACTTGCAGGAGATTGTGTGAGGTGGAAGGGAAGGTATATGGTCAGTTGCGGAGCTAGCTGAAGAAAGTTGTAGAACCGGAGGAAGTAGAGATGCGTTACTGAATCCCCGTGTTCCATTTTGAACCCATGTAATAACAAGGCTTCGAGATTGGAGAACGATTCAGTGTCCACCATCGTTAAAATACACTTTGCATCCATCGAAAGCCTTGGCTCTAGAGCACTGGCCTCACCTTTTCCTTTCTTTCATTTTGCACCCTAGTAACCAGTGCTCAGCCTTTTAACTTGGCTGTTCCAAAAGTTTAAGATGTCACCATACAAGTCCCTGCCAGCGCGCATAATAGCAGTCAAATACACGATCTTCTGCCATAGCAGCAGACGGCACCGATGCTGGCCTGTTCAGAGTGCAAAAACCAAGAGACAACGGTATCTGGTAGTTAGCTAGACAACAACCTGCTGTAAATTGCGACATCGCTGGATCAGGGACGCAAATGTGAAAACCGAAATGACACGACTTATCGCACCCATACCTTTCTTCCCTAGGAAGCCTGACAACATTCTACTTTTAAGTTTGGTGCAGTAGCACTGTCCCGGACCAGCATAACCAAACCTACTGAAAACCAACCTTATCACTGAAGAATCCATACAGCACTGATACCAATAAGTCACGGATAGGGCCCATATTGGCGAGAGAAAGTGAGAAAGAAACAACTTGCAACACTTTAGGATGACTGCAGTGGACTAAATGGTACTGTATTCCAATTTTTTATTTATTCTAAACGTCGATGGATTATCCGGGTGCAACTAATATCTTGAGGCTGTCTATTCAGACAACCACAACTCTTAGGGACAACTGAAGGAAAAAGTGACATACCGACATTACAAACAGATCCCAGGACTAAGTTAAAATGGCCCGAAGAATATCACCTTCCAATAAAAATTATTAAATGGAGCTACTATATTCTTCAGGCGCATATATTTTGGCCCACATCTGAGACCTAGATGTCACAATATGCTCCAACTCAAAAACGTCACTGATTTGCAGCCAGTGGCTATAGGTCCTCAAGGATATTAGGTAGGGGTTTTGATTGAAATAATCAGCAGTATGCTTATCATTTTATGTAGATGTTTCACGAGGTTAAAGCTAGAAAACTTAGTCCAGATAATTATCATTTAACTAAAACTTGGTTTATAAATTCTGGAACTGGTTAGAAAGATTCCACTCGTATGATTACCGGCATGACCGTTTTAACATAAGCGGAAAGAATCGCTAATACTTCTCAAACCACTGGCACGCAGAAGATTTAATCACAATGATTTAAAGAAATGACTGTTGTATCTTATCTTTTCACTTCTGTCAGATTTCACTAATTTAGAGATCATAACATTAGGGTTGAAAGCCAGCGACTTACTATGTCTCTCAGAATTAATGTTTCTAAGACCTAGTAACTAACTTCTCGAACCGTCTTCCAAAAAAGTAGATTTATGCCATCAGTCGATTTTTTAGGAAAAAACAGATAACTGCAAGCGCTTCACAAAAAGGACTTACAATTCTTGGAGATCTACTGTCTGCAGTAAGATATTTGAACAAGGTTGGAGAGATGTCAGCTCGTAAATTATCAGCAACACATTTCTCAAATACGTCCAAATAAACTGTACATACAAAAAGGTAACTTGCTGATAATATGTATCGCACTGCTCTAATATGTGCAGTTTTCAGTCATCACCACAGCCAGTCTGAATGCAGTGGCGTACTCATAAATTCTTTCAATTTCTCGATATTCGCTTCACGCCAAACGTTGCGGTATTCCAGTACTCACAATATAGAACAGGAAGGCAAATGCGAAAAAGTAGAAAATTTATTGCCATAAAAGTAAAGTGCCTTAAGTGGCACAACCATGAAGCATCATCTTCAACTAAACAATCAGAAAAATAGAAACTAAAATTCAATCACAGATATAGAGTCAGTTATAATGCCAAGTAACTAGTCAAGTCAACAAAAAAAAACTGTAAAGATATATATCAAAGAAGTATCGTTCTGTGTTTATTACGCTGAAATAAACAGAACTAATATTCAGAACAACCTTTGAAATACGCGAGATTGTGGTGAGCTTGCGAAAAGCGCCACTTCAAACTAGAAGATTTACGCGGGAAATTCGATATTTTCGGTAGGTCAGGTACATTATCGTAGAATTCCACGAATCCCCAGTGTTAAGTTGATTGAAAATCCCGATTATAGCTTATACATATACTTTTTTCAATGGCTGTTAGCGGATATATGTAATCTGTTTATCTCACAATCCAAGCCGGAGAAGTTGAAGTGCCATAGCCAGAGTCGTCTCCCGAAAGCTGACCTACAAGAACTGATCAGATACAGAGGATGCTGTGAAAAATCCTTCCAAACAAAGTCATGCCTGTCATTTAGGACTTGGACTTTATAGAAAGATTTTTCTGTAAATCTACAGTGCTAAAGCTTTTCGATTAAGGTTTTGGTTCTACGGTTAAGGTTAGGAGTGACTCTAAACTGTAGGAACCCCAAAACATAACTAACTGACGCACTGATAAATGATCCTGATGAATTTATGAACAGAAATCGGTTCAATGTGTTCATGAGGACTTCTGTTAGAGATTGCAATCTCTCATGAGAGGTTTTCTTGGAACGCAGGCTAAGCTACCCAGGGACTGGAAGGATGCCATTATAAGCCCTATCTTCAAGGACGAGGATAGGCAATCGGTATCTAACTACAGGCCGGTAAGTCTGACATGCATTATTGCAAAGGTATTGGAAACTATTATAAGGGATCAACTATTAGCTTATGTTGAAACACATGTCTTGTTGGCTGTAGAACAGCATGGATTCCGACCAGGACGATCCTGCTTGACAAACCTACTTTTGGCTAGCGAAGACTGGGTTGAGGCCAGAGATAGAAACCATCTGTTGGACGTGGTTTTTATTGATCTTAGCAAGGCGTTCGACAAAGTATCCCACTTAGGTCTCCTTAGTAAACTTGAAGGTTTCGGACTAGACCAATGCCTATGTGAGTGGTTTAGAGATTACTTAATGGATAGAAGGCAGAGGGTTAGAGTTAACGGTGTACTATCAGGATGGAAAGCAGTATCCAGTGGAGTGCCTCAGGGAACTGTATTAGGTCCATTGCTATTCCTGTTATACGTTAACGAATTCTCAGGGATCCTTTCTTCATCCTCATTATTATTTGCAGATGACATTAAGATATGGAAAACTGTAAACAATAACGAGGATAGGTCGGCCCTACAAACTGATTTAGATAAATTAGCTGAGTGGTCAAGCCTATGGAGTTTGCAAATGAATGCTAGGAAAAGCGCGGTAATGCACTTAGGTCAGAAGTCTTATGCGCCGTACTCCCTAGGGGACACAGAACTACCTGATGTTAACGAACAGAAGGACCTAGGAATCATTGTCAGCAATGATTTGAAAACAACTGCAAATTGCACTGCAGCCGCAGCTAAAGCATTTCGAATGCTATGGGTAATTCGGACTTTCAAACGATTAGACGAGGGCATGTTCCAAATACTCTACGCAACATATGTCAGGCCTCATCCAGAATACAGCATACAAGCGATGAGTACATGCTTCAAAAAGGAGGCACATATTCTGGAAAGAGTACAGAGAGTAGGAACAAAATTAGTTAGTGGTATCTCACACCTACCTTATGATAAGAGGATGGAGCATTTAAATCTGTTCCCGCAATCAAAGCGAAGGAAGAGAGGCGACTTAATTTTAGCATACCGTATACTTAAGGGTGGTTTAGGAACTGACCTTTCTAACCTTTTCTCTCCTTCTATGATACATTTACGGGGTCACCGCAAAAAGGTGCTCAAACCGAGGACGATTAAAATACGTGCAGAATTTAGATTGTCTCACAAAGTGGTCAACGACTGGAACTCCTTACCTAATTTAGGAGTGTCAGCTCCGTCGGTGAAACCTTTCAAAGAGAAGTTAGACCTCTGCATAGATGTATTTTGCAAGGATTAACATTGGCCACAAGAGCCTTCTATCCTTATCATCTGAATCTGAAACATATATAAGAATATTAACCTATGTAGCTATTTTTAAATTTGTACTGCTTTTATATAGGCGTTTATCTCGAATTACGCATTTCCATATCTGACGCATCTGCTTGGTCTCGAGAGGTCTTCACTAGGTAGTTTCATTATAGGCTGCTACAATTAGACTCACCAGATTAAGTTTTAAGTTAAGAAGTTTGGACTACAGTTAGAGTAAGAAGAGATTAAAGAATAGTGTCAGGAATATCAGTGAATCTCAAAGTACCATAACTTACAGTCACCTGGATTCAGATTATAAGGATAGAAAGCTCATGTTGCCTATGTTAATCCTCGCGATATATATCTATGCAGAGGTCTAACTTCTCTTTGAAAGGTTTCACCGACGGAGCTGACACTCCTAAATTAGGTAAGGAGTTCCAGTCGTTGACCACTTTGTGAGACAATCTAAATTCTGCACGTATTTTAATCGTCCTCGGTTTGAGCACCTTTTTGCGGTGACCCCGTAAATGTATCATAGAAGGAGAGAAAAGGTTAGAAAGGTCAGTTCCTAAACCACCCTTAAGTATACGGTATGCTAAAATTAAGTCGCCTCTCTTCCTTCGCTTTGATTGCGGGAACAGATTTAAATGCTCCATCCTCTTATCATAAGGTAGGTGTGAGATACCACTAACTAATTTTGTTCCTACTCTCTGTACTCTTTCCAGAATATGTGCCTCCTTTTTGAAGCATGTACTCATCGCTTGTATGCTGTATTCTGGATGAGGCCTGACATATGTTGCGTAGAGTATTTGGAACATGCCCTCGTCTAATCGTTTGAAAGTCCGAATTACCCATAGCATTCGAAATGCTTTAGCTGCGGCTGCAGTGCAATTTGCAGTTGTTTTCAAATCATTGCTGACAATGATTCCTAGGTCCTTCTGTTCGTTAACATCAGGTAGTTCTGTGTCCCCTAGGGAGTACGACGCATAAGACTTCTGACCTAAGTGCATTACCGCGCTTTTCCTAGCATTCATTTCCTTCAATGGAGTTAGTGTGAGCTCGGAATCATACCAAACTTGTAGCCCTGCTTTAAAGTCTCCAAATAAAATCTAGTCTGGTGCTCTACGCATTTCACTATTGTGGAAAAATCCAGAAAAGATAAACCGTTGTATACGAAGGATTAGTGAATTATTGGGAAACTTATGCCTGGATACACCGAAATGTGTCATAGTGTTCACTGTAAATGGGGCCATAATTCAGGGGGAAAATATTCGAAAATTAGGGTGTATGTCACGGATAGAAATGTGTCCAGTTTTCTCATATATGGTAAACATAGCGATTTCACGGCATTTTTTAACTGTAGCCATCGTCTTCTAAAGAAGTCCTCTGTAACTGTACACTTGTCACCACTGGAGACATCTTGAATTTGCGAAGTGTTTGGCTTGACTATCTACAAGTTATCTTTGTGTTTCTTTTTGTGAAGCTCTTTTTACCAGATCTTACTCCGCTGTGGCTGAAGATGTTGTCTAGGACCCTGAAAGCCAAGATTTAAATCATCTGAGTTAAAGAATACACCATCATGAAAAACCACCGTAAATACAAATATTCTTAATTACATTAAGGCGAATTCATAGGTGTATAGAGATATGGTTCAATTCTCTAATTCAAAGACGCACATCTGATATCTATGGTCGGCCTGCAAAATTTGGGCTACCGATATCCATGCTGAAAATTCCATACTTGTACCGAAAATACAGTGTGGAATCAAGCTGTAAATCAAAAAAAAACTTTAGACTTTAACACTTTTTAATCCTTTGAAATTGCTATAAGGTATTCAGAAACTTGTGCGTCGGTGGCACAGTGGTTAGGACTCTCGCCGATCATGCACATGGTCCGAGGTTCGATCCCCTGCTGACGCACACCTGATATCTATGGTCGGTCTGCAAAATTTGGGCTACCGATATCCATGCTGAAAATTCCATACTTGTACCGAAAATACAGTGTGGAATCAAGCTGTAAATCAAAAAAAAACTTTAGACTTTAACACTTTTTAATCCTTTGAAATTGCTATAAGGTATTCAGAAACTTGTGCGTCGGTGGCACAGTGGTTAGGACTCTCGCCGATCATGCACATGGTCCGAGGTTCGATCCCCTGCTGACGCACACCTGATATCTATGGTCGGTCTGCAAAATTTGGGCTACCGATATCCATGCTGAAAATTCCATACTTGTACCGAAAATACAGTGTGGAATCAAGCTGTAAATCAAAAAAAAACTTTAGACTTTAACACTTTTTAATCCTTTGAAATTGCTATAAGGTATTCAGAAACTTGTGCGTCGGTGGCACAGTGGTTAGGACTCTCGCCGATCATGCACATGGTCCGAGGTTCGATCCCCTGCTGACGCACACCTGATATCTATGGTCGGTCTGCAAAATTTGGGCTACCGATATCCATGCTGAAAATTCCATACTTGTACCGAAAATACAGTGTGGAATCAAGCTGTAAATCAAAAAAAAACTTTAGACTTTAACACTTTTTAATCCTTTGAAATTGCTATAAGGTATTCAGAAACTTGTGCGTCGGTGGCACAGTGGTTAGGACTCTCGCCGATCATGCACATGGTCCGAGGTTCGATCCCCTGCTGACGCACACCTGATATCTATGGTCGGTCTGCAAAATTTGGGCTACCGATATCCATGCTGAAAATTCCATACTTGTACCGAAAATACAGTGTGGAATCAAGCTGTAAATCAAAAAAAACTTTAGACTTTAACACTTTTTAATCCTTTGAAATTGCTATAAGGTATTCAGAAACTTGTGCGTCGGTGGCACAGTGGTTAGGACTCTCGCCGATCATGCACATGGTCCGAGGTTCGATCCCCTGCTGACGCACACCTGATATCTATGGTCGGTCTGCAAAATTTGGGCTACCGATATCACATGCTGAAAATTCCATACCTGTACCAAAAATACAGTGTGGAATCAAGCTGTAATCAAAAAATGTATAGGCAGGTAATTCACTTTTTCCATCGATTAGACTGATGATGTATTATTCGTTTTAGATTGACAAATGCCAGTTTCTTTTTGGGTTTTGAGCTGTTCAAAATGCTTCTTATTTCAAGTTCATCAGTCTAAAAAGTCGAAAAATTGGGTTTGCAAAGTTTGTTCGTGCAAACAATCGTTTTTAAAAGTGAGTTACGCTTAATTTTGACAAGACGTTTTTGCTTTGATATCATCCACGAAAAAAAGATGTTTTTCGGAAATTGAGTGACTAACATATGAACATAAGACCCGAAATGGTTGTTATAAAGTTCAGATAAGACCACTCTAAAAAAGCACTGGCTAAAAAGTACAGTAAGAATTGAATGCCATTCAACAGAAACATTTATATATGTGGATGAACACCAAACATTTTCATCAAAAAGCTAGGCACCTAAAGGTTTCAAATTTACCTGACATGTACATCAATGCATAAACTGATGTATTGATGGATTCTTCGTACTTGACAAACTACTTGAGCATTAACTACCTTCCATTCACCCCTTCCATTGTCAACTTAGTGGTGGAATAGCCTATCTGCCCCCGCGGTTGTCCTGATGACAGCATTCATCAAGTGAAATAACTTCTTCCCAGAAACAAATGACTATCCTAAGAAAATTGTAGTAATTCAGTACTAAGATCCCACTGTCAGTTGGGATTCCCTAAATATCTTCAGTTTAACTTTCTCACTCTCTCAGCTGAAAATATAATCAATTAGTGCTATGTTGTGGTTTCATGGATCTCAATTTCTACTTTAGCCAACATTTATTGTCAACAAAGTTGGTGACTTAATATTTGTAGATCGCATCCCAGTTGTTAACTATTCATATCCGTATAGGCTTATTTACCTGTTTCTTAACAAGCAGTGCGTCTAGCCACCGCAATAGTGTGTCGTGGAACAAGTACGTAATCACTTAATATCTTTTTTTAATTGCCATTTTCCAATCGAGAAATTAGCCACAGAAAACTACTACGCACTACACGTCATTTAATCGGTAAACAAATATCTCGTGCTTACCGAAGATGACTGCATTAAAGATAACAAGCAGGAATTTCTTACTCATTTTGCGACTTTCCTGATTGGTTTTCGTCAGCAACTAGGTCTTCGAAGAGGCGCCACTTCTCAAATAAAAGTTGTTGACTTATTGAATGACTTCCCCCTTCTTAAACTGATACAAAATCACTCTGCAGCACCATTATTCGTTTAACTAAGGGGGTCTCGAACCCACTTGGGTGTTTGCCTACGGTTAACAAGGCCATATCGCCTTCGATCATTTAAAATGGTAATTCTAAAAACCCTATAAAGCTGTATGAACTTGTGTAGTTGGCCTTGGACTAAGCACACCATACTTTTTGACGAGCTTAAGCGGGACATGTTCTCTAAGGAATAATTAATGTATTTCTGCTAGTTTTTAGTGAAGTTTTATCTTCTTAGGCTAATTTTCTTCTTTTCGCTACTTTGAAAAGGAAAGTTGGGACACAGAGAAATACCACTAGTTTTTAGCACATATAATACCTATCTTCGCGTTTTGCTGCAATAGCTGACTGACTGGTTTCAACGTAGAACTTTGCACATATGTCTGCCAGTCCGAGTTGCCACATGCCATGTAGCACACAAAGCGAGTGAACAGAGTTAAGGGAGGTTCAAAAGACAGATAATAAACAGAAGTGTCAGGCAAGAAAATAGTATTATGGAAAAACAATAGAGTTTTATTGGGTATAGTAAATCATAAAGAGTGATTGCATCTGCACCATTGACAATGGTTTTTAGCTATATCACCACTTATCTACAGCTATTGGTTCATAACATCCCGTGGAACCCAACCAGGAAGTGTACACCACCCTACGCGGTTGGCTGGCTTAAACTAACTGTTGTGGATTTCACTGACTGACGAAGACATGTTTTCGTTTGACCAACACTGGCTCTTTTCTAACCTGGTTCTATGGCAGCTGACATTGCCCGTCTAGGAAGTCTGTAGGTGGCTAGGCATGCGTAACATATGTCAGTCGCCTCAATCCATGTAGCTTCATAAGCTCATCGATTTACTTTCCCTTCTCACCTAACCCTCGACGCCTAACCCACCCTTTTATGACAACTAACACGGCAGATGGAACGCAGCCACTTATGGTCATAGACAGCTAACCGGCGTTTCCATGTCTTCTACTTTCAGTGGTTATATCTTACCGTTATAATGGAGGAGAGAGCCGCCTGCTAAGCGATACATATGTCGTCGGATCGATAGCCGGATATCGCGTCTACGCCATAGGTGGCGTATACCAAACGAGCCTTATATATCCGTGCTGAGATTTCGTCAGTGGTCAACCCATTGGGGTAAGTTCAGCTTCCCAAATAAGTGAAGGGGTCAACACGCTCTACCACTTTACTCCCTATTTCTAAGCTAGGATTCAATGCAGTCCAGCCCAATAGTATCAACTTACATTTGACTATAACAACTCGTATGCCAAACACTCGAAGATTACTGCTCAAGATGTTTGTAAGCTCCTTCACTTGTCAGCGTCGTCACCTAGAACGATGATATCATCCGCATATTCTAAGCTAACTAAATTATTCTAGGACGGTAAAAAGTCAATCCCTGAGTATCTGAAGTGAGTTAGGGTTAAGTTCATTAGTGCATCTATGATGAAATTAAAAGGAAACGGAGATACTGGGAATCCCTGAAGGACACCACTAGTTTTCATCACTTCAGATGACAACCCTCCGTAAACTCTCACCTAGTTGCATGAGTTCGAGTAGAGTGCCTTGATCAGTGCAATGTATTTTTTCGGCAGTCCCTTTATAGTCAAACATCTCCATAGTACCTCTCGGCCAACAGAATCGAATGCCGCCTTTAGGTCAAGAAATACAATGACTGCTGGACGCCGGTAGGAATGCCTATGCTCCAGAATCTGTTGAAGGCTGAAGATATGATCAATACACCCTCTTCCTGGTCTAAAGCCTGTCTGGCTCTCTCTTGTTTGTTGCTCCCTAGTACCACTTAGTCTACTCATTATTAGATTATTGTATAGCCATGTTATAAACTTCTGTCATTAGTTTATTTATATTATATTCAAGTCAGAGGTTACAGTCAATTAACGCGATCTAATATTAGCAGAATATGCACTGGAATGACGAAAGCTTTAACAGTTTTACTTCGTTAAATACATTTTAAAGAGTTTGTATTCATGTGTTATTTCCTTGCTTCTATTACCTGTTTAGTTGATATTAGTCACTGACACAGCAGTTGTTCACTTATCTTGGTCGTTTAGGTATTCGCTGAAGGAACTGCAAAAGAATGTCGTGAAATTGTACAGAAATTAAATAAACAAGGTGTTCAACGTCAGATGGAACTGCCTGGATTTGGAAAGCCAGATCTACTAAGATTCAATCCAAACAAATATTTACAACATTGTGAAACGACAGTCAAAGAGGACTTAGTATTCGAAGATAATGATTCTGCAAGTCAAGAAAATGAGAATATAGATACTGAGGAGATTTCATACAAACTAACTCCTTATTCAAACTCATCTGATTCTCGAGCTGAAAAATCTATAGGCACTGGAGAAAATTTCTCACATCTGGTAAATACCTATATGGGGATTTATAGCTACAACCTTTAACTGTTTAAACTTTTTGACTGTATCGTATATACATCGAACAGGTATAACTGAATTGCCTTGTAGAAAATGTTTCACGGTATTTCATGCAGTCATTTGAGAAACCAAGTGCGTCTATGGTTCAGTAATAGAATATTGGATTGTTTCCCCGTCGATGTACTCGTAGACCCATCTTACCAGGTAAAGCGGCTAGCAACCCCACTCTGTAAAAAAGTCAGACACTACTAACTCCTTAGAGCTCTATATATGCCACTTGAAATGTGAAGGAATAAACTCAGGAAGCTAAATTGTTCCGATACACCTGTTTACAGATCACTAGTCCGTAATGTTTCTTGTTATATAGCCGCTAACCACTTCTTTATTTCTTTGAATTCTTTTAGCTTTTCTGATTAAATATACATAGTCTAATTCTCTGTCATATCCCAGGTAGTGTTTATTGAAAAGCTGTTGGTTGTCACCCGAATTACATGTTTATGCATTCATCAGGCTATTTGTACAGGATAATTGCCCCCTTTAGCCTTTCGGTTGTAGTCATTGACCAATATAAGTAAACCACATGTCACTCAGAGTTATTCCAAGTAATTGATTTAGTTACCAGTGTAAGCGCAATATCGCTTGAAATTAAGTCACGCGTAGATAAAGGCTATCCCGGTCCAGAACAAACAAGAAGCCGGTCACTGTTTCTACGGTACTATTAATAAACAAATCAATAATTATATATACAACAAACCTTAACGGTTTCAAGAGTACAAAGCACAACGCTTAACAGAAAGCAAGGTACCGCTATCAGAGCGGAATAACGTTAAAGTCAAAATTGCGAACTAGCCGGAACCAGACACGACCGTTCAGGTAAGCAGTCAGTAGAAGAATGAACCCAAGTAAGGCATAGCATAAAACAGAGAGCGTTTAAGAGAGATAGACCGAGCATAAGCACAAAGATAGAATTTAATTGGCTACTTAACCAGGTAGGAAAATACAGATGAAAATCAATAAATAAGATAAACTCGACAGAATAGTACAAAGTTAGACATGGGTCAGCAAAAATAACAGTTCACAAAATACTCTGATTGGGCCATGAGTTCAACCGTCTGACTAAACAGATCGAGGTAAAAACACATATACACAGTTCATTAAACAAGCAGGGATAGACACGTTAGGCATGGATAATTGGGTTGCAACAACGCTAGGCTGATCTGGGACAGGTTGACTTGATTCAAGGATGGGAATAGAATTGATCTTACACCGGCCCCCAAAATCCGACTAGGATTTTATGAATCATGTTATACAGAATAACCCTCGTGCCCGGCTCTCTTACAAATGACTTCCCTCTAGTAGGCATATCTTACTTATATCGCGCTTCACCTCGCCGTTTCTCGTTCTTATTGTAACTGTTCTGACAAGTCCGTCCGCGGATTGCTCGCATCCCGCAATAACTCCTCGCGGCCAACGCCTAGCCAACCATCTTGCCACCACAGAAATCGTAATGCTCCTCGATCGTCTACTGGCACCTTCACTTGCATAAACATATCAGCTATGTCCGCGACTACACCAATAGGCTTTTCTCGAAAGCGCAACAGAGCACCAACAAGCTCGGCAATCGTATCAGGTTCTTGATATAGCTTATCGTTCAAAGAATAACCTCTAAAGGTTGCAGCACAATCTATAAATCTTCTCAGTTTATCTGGCTTTTTCGTTTTCATAACGGGATGATGTGGAAGATACCACCTCGAACGATAGTTCGCTGCTAGCTGCTTTGGGGGTACCGGAAGGGCATAACCATTTTTTAACATCGTATTTATCCCCTCCACATATCGTGCTAAAAGGTTCTTGTCACACGATAACCTCTGTTTCAGATTGAGTAACGGCTTTATGGCGACTACATAATTATTGTCCGTTACCTTTGTCGGATCTTCCCATGGCAAGGGAATGATGTAATACACCTTTTCTACTATGGTGCTTTGAGTAACAAACTCGATTGCCTTACGATCTTCAATAGAAAATGAGTTTTTGTTTTCTTCAGTATCCTTAAGCTCAGCTTGATGTAGACTTCTGATGTCGTCTTTGATACTGTCTTTGCTGATTCGAGCGTAATTGACAGTGCCTCTTTTCGTATTTCCATGAGTTTTCCGTTCGTCGTCCTCGGCTAACTTCACATGCAGCTCGGCCATTTCGACATCATGTCTAGCCTTTAGCAACTTTTTCTCTAACTCTAACTCCTCTCGAAGCTGTTTCTCTTTTAGCTGCGCCCTTAGTAGCAACGACTTAGCACTAGTTACTCGCGGTAATGATAATTTCGAACTACTGACATGAGAGCCGGGGCACGAAAGATTATCAACATGATCATTTATACGAACGGGGACTTGCCGACTCTCCGACTGCTGCTCCGAAATTTGATTCCCTGATCTGGTTTGCATTGTTCCAAAGACAATGTATTGTCAATAACGTTTCGTGCTGCCAATTCACCACAGTTTCTTCTCGATGAACGCTCAGTACTGACCAGTTCAGTACGGGATTTTCCTATTAGACGTTGAGTACTGACCAATTCAGTACGGTCTCGATCCCTTTAGCGTTGAGTACTGACCAGTTCAGTACGGTCTTCCTCTTTCGTTAAGTACTGACCAGTTCAGTAGTCTCGATCCGTTTAGCGTTAAGTACTAACCAGTTCAGTACGGTCTCGATCCCTTTAGCGTTATGTACTACGTTAAGTACTGACCAGTTCAGTACGGGATTTTCTTCAATGACAATTCCTCTTTCGTTAAGTACTGCGTTAAGTACTGACCAGTTCAGTACGGGATTTTCTTCAATGCCAATTCCTCTTTCGTTAAGTACTGATCAGTTCAGTACGGTCTCCTCTGTAACGTTAAAAGTACTGACCAATTCAGTAAAGTCTCGATCCGTTTAGCGTCAAGTACTACGTTACGTACTCCGTTAAGTACTGTAAGCGCAATATCGCTTGAAATTAAGTCACGCGTAGATAAAGGCTATCCCGGTCCAGAACAAACAAGAAGCCGGTCACTGTTTCTACGGTACTATTAATAAACAAATCAATAATTATATATACAACAAACCTTAACGGTTTCAAGAGTACAAAGCACAACGCTTAACAGAAAGCAAGGTACCGCTATCAGAGCGGAATAACGTTAAAGTCAAAATTGCGAACTAGCCGGAACCAGACACGACCGTTCAGGTAAGCAGTCAGTAGAAGAATGAACCCAAGTAAGGCATAGCATAAAACAGAGAGCGTTTAAGAGAGATAGACCGAGCATAAGCACAAAGATAGAATTTAATTGGCTACTTAACCAGGTAGGAAAATACAGATGAAAATCAATAAATAAGATAAACTCGACAGAATAGTACAAAGTTAGACATGGGTCAGCAAAAATAACAGTTCACAAAATACTCTGATTGGGCCATGAGTTCAACCGTCTGACTAAACAGATCGAGGTAAAAACACATATACACAGTTCATTAAACAAGCAGGGATAGACACGTTAGGCATGGATAATTGGGTTGCAACAACGCTAGGCTGATCTGGGACAGGTTGACTTGATTCAAGGATGGGAATAGAATTGATCTTACAACCAGTATCCTTGGTTAAACTGTGAAAGCCGTGAGACCAATCACTGGCATATTTCCTCTTTGATGTAAAAAGTCTAGGGTCGTTTTTGTATTTTTCCCTTATATATATATATATATATATATATATATATTTATGCTGAACGCAGATTGTTGAATGACTGCAGTAGTGTAAAGCAATGAAACAACAATTTTTTTCATAAGTAAGGGTTTTAATTCTCTTTTTAGTGGGAATTTCGAAGCGGCTAACATCATTAAATTGTTACTGTATTTACTGCATTTATATGAAGACTCGTCTTTATGCTGTTACTTGTCATTCTTGACGTAAAGGTCAGTAGTACTTAGGTGTCTGCGTTCTATCTTTCGTCGTATATATTACAATATTATCAGTAATAATGTTGGGTGTAGCGTGTTTAGTAGGGAGGGAAGATCAGTAGATAAGGTTGCGAAGTGAAATCAATCGCTACGACTAAAGCATCAGTTACACAGGCCAAGTCATCAACTTACTAGATGAGCAATATTGAATGACATAGTGACAGACTTAAAAAGAGTTAAGAGTGGTCAGTTGAAACTAATAAAATTATGATTCCTTTGAGTTCCGAGTGGTACATAGAGCTCCAGTAACATATCTCCTTTTCATTCTTTGCTCCGAAGTCCTTTTTATCTGGTTCCACTATTACCCTTAAGGTTTCTTCTCTTCCTCACACGATCCCCATGTTGTTATCGGACGCACAATAGGTCGTTTCCTGTTCATTCAGCTTTCATTCGAGGGCCTGGCGCGCGATGGCACTCAACAGTCTCCTCAGTATATATCTAGAACATCTCTACTTTCTTCTGTGTATTGGTTAGGTGATAGTCTCTTGGTTGATTCTTTGATTGTTGTTTATCCTTTCTTACTGACCATCTGATCTTCAGTATTCGGAGAATGTAGCTGTTGATCAGAGTCTGTAGGCTGTTGAAAATGCCTTTTATGACGTGTGTTTCAAGTCTCTCAGCCATATAAGAAACACGTTAGTGTTGAAGATCTGGATATTGTTTCTTATACTGAGGAGGGGAGTAAATTTCCTCATTGATTCTAGAGAAATGAAGGCCTGTCTTGTTTTTCCGATCTTGCTTTTGACTGCGTGTGTACTGCTCAGCAGTCCGCTTCGTCCTCCTTTATGGCTGTGAGACCTGGCCATTGAATGTGGAAGACATGAAAACACTAGCTGTCTTTGATCTTAGGTGCCTGCGTTCTATCTCCCGTGTTAGGTGGTATAAGAGAGTGAGCAATATTGAGGTTAGGCGTCGAGTGCTAGGTAAAGAGGGGAAATCAATAAAAAAGACTGTAAGGTTACATCGACTGAGATGGTTAGGACATGTGCTACGCGTGCTTATCCTAGTTATCGCCTTTCTCGACGGGCAATGTTAGCTGACATAGGGTCAGGCTGGAAAAGAGCCAGTAGTGGTCAAACGAAAACAGCTTCATTAGTCAATGAAGTCCACAACAGTTAGTTTCAGCCAGCCAACCACGTAGAGAGGTTTAGACTTCCTGGTTGGGTTCATCGGGACGGTTAAAACCAATAGTTGGAGGCAATTGTTGATATGACTCAAAGTCGTTCTCAATGGCCAGCGCAGATGCATCCACTCCTTGTGAGTTATAATTTCCAATGAAACTATATTGTTCTTCGATATTACTATTCTTTTTGCATCATATCTCTGTTTACTGTCTTTATTTTGCATTTCTTTTTACTTTCTTCTCTTGCTTTATGTGTTGAGTGAAGTGTGGCGACTCGAACTGCTTCATACCGGTGCAAAGTTCTATGTTGAAACCAGCCAGTCAGCCTTTTGGCTGCCTCTTGTATGTCGATGTATTTGATTTATTCATATAAGCGTATGAGAAGATCATTTAATTTACTATTCTCTCTCTGTTTTAAATTTAGAATTTCGATGATGCATATCTCAAAGCAGGCAATTCTTCAATGTCCAATAATTTATCTACAATTCCATCGCAAAGTACCGGTTCAAAATGGGATGTTTATTTGTGATAACAATGCTGTTAAATTCAAAAAGTGACACGGTGCATTTATTGTTTTTGTAATTACTTCCATCCAAACTTATTTCGTTTGATTTATTCTTAATAAAATATTTAAACACCAATATAATATTCAAAAAATCATGAATACATTAAAATTTGTAAATTAGTCTCAGTATTTTTATCTTGTACATTAGAATGAGTGTAGTAATAATTTTTTTTGATTTACAGCTTGATTCCACACTGTATTTTTGGTACAAGTATGGAATTTTCAGCATGGATATCGGTAGCCCAAATTTTGCAGGCCGACCATAGATATCAGGTGTGCGCCGGCGTGGGCTCGAACCCCGGACCATGTACATGGTCGGCGAGAGTCCTAACCACTGTGCTCCTAAAAGCAACCGTTTCGATGGATAAAGCATTGAAATAATTAATACTTTTGGAAATCTCACTCAAAAACCACTCACGTTTCTATTCAGTTCATAAATTCGTCGTATCTTTTTTTGTGTGAGGGCTAATACAACTACCTGACTCCCTAAACTATGATAGGTACAGTGGGATTCGAAATATTTGGAAGTTGAGCGCCTAAACCATTTTGAAACTTCTCCACAGAAATGCATAATGAGCTTACAAAAATTTAGAATTTATCGACAGGATATCTATACATTCAGATAATCATTCATAGGTAAACTTGTGAACCGTGACTTCCAAATTAAGCTGAGTTATTGAGTTCTGACAGCTGCTTTCCTTTCATTGGATCACATGTATAGAGTCAGGTTAAGTATGGCATTGCTGCGTCTAACTGATATAGGGAAGGCCGAAAGATAATATAACCAAGATGCAGTTATCTAACAAATTGATTTTTCAGGTTAGTATAAAAGGTCATTGCAGTGTGAATTTTAAGAAAGTTGTTTGTTAGTTTGTTTTTAAAAAATACCCCAATAGAACAACCAATATTTTATATTTTCTTATGTGAATGCAAATGTCATTCAGGAACTTTCGTTGTACAGAGTAATATTTGTCGCTTGAGTGATAATGAACAAATACCTGACATTTGGTTGACCAAGTTAATTTCACCCGCGAAACTATTGATACACTACCTTTTAGTCTTGACTTTCACTTAAATTTAGTGAGTGATTATCAAAAAACTGGGAAGTCACCTACCCTATATCATATTACATTTACTAAAGTAAGATTGTTATTTAGAGCCATAATAATCACAATAAGTATCATCTATTGCTAATCAAAGCTACTGGAATAATCCTTCTACATGAAGATGCTGAAAAAATCCAGTCTACTGAACATCTTGTGCCTGTTATTCTCCCTTATCAAATGTAAGCCAACGCTACAAAAGTATTCTAAGACGATTCTAAGTATAATTACAGGTAGTGGAATTATTAAGCGTGTTTATCACCAAACTTATTTAGGAAGTCGTATCAGCCATAATGGACTGATTGTTCATCGAGTCATCCATCAACTTTGTAGTATTCGGATTTCGACCAAAGGATATATGTGCTGCGCAACAGTAGTTTACCGCTGTGAAACCTGTCTGTCTAGTGGGGAAGATATAAGGTAGCCTCATGTTTTCACAAACTTTTGCAAGCAGAATCCGAGTGGATAACGACTTTACTATGATTAATGTTTGGCTTCTACTTATACACGGTCTAAAGCTCTTCAGTAGTTATACATGCACACATGTTAGGTGCACTGAAGAAGTTATTATATGTATAGTTCGATAGTATACAGAATAATTCTGATTCCACAGAAAGTAAGCATTAAAGCAAAATTTAAGCTACAGTAAAGACGATAATGATAAGTTCAACTCTGTTATGTGAAATCGAAGAAGAAAGAAATGGTAACGAAAGCTATAATGCAAAGTTTGAATTAAATACATTATCATTTCATGCCTTGATATAAGAATCAGAAAAGTAGGACAGGTCTTCATTAGTCTGAAATAATCCTGGGAATCTACTGTGCTTGGTCTAAGGGACACAATCGAGATTTTCAACACTAGAGTCATACTAGTGATTATCTGATTCAGAGACTTGGCTCATGCATCACGAAAATCATTTCCAACACACTGCTGCAGGCTTTCCAACTGCTCTGTTGTTTTAACACTGAAGATCAGATCACTGGTCGGAAAGCATGACCAACAAAGTACCATAGGGACGAACCAACCAAGAGCGTATCTCTCAATAAGTATGCCGAAGGTAGATAAGACACAGGCTGTGGAAATCGTTGAGTAACATGATAAGCCAAACTGTCGAGTAGAATTCGAATGGGTAGAGATGGGTTGGACGTCCAACGGTAACATGAAGAAGGTTGCGTTAGGTGGAGATGAAAGCTTATGTGTAATCGTTAAGCCAGCTAAAAAGAATTACAAACAACTGGGTGAAATGAAAATGTGCTACAGAGGCCGTATATTCCTCTCGATACCCTACAGAAACAATAGTAATAACACAACATTTTATTGTAAACACAAATGCTTATTTCTGATGTTAAGATATAAGCAGAAGAAGATGGACGTGTAAAGACTCAGAAGATTCAAAGTTAAAGGAGTGTAACGAAATATATTTCAATTAAATCAGACGACCAACAAAAAGGTCAAGCACGCAGGCATCCCACAGATAAAATCTGCCCATATAATTAGGGAATCCTAATTCTGCGTTAATTAAAATGTAGGCGAACATAATTTGATAAATATTTCACGCGGATGCACTACAACACGTTTCAGTACACTAGTCTCTACGTCTAATTATATTAAATTGTCTTTCTGTTTACTGACGATTACTATAGTCGTGTCAATCAATAAATAAATATAAGTCTATTTTTAGACGTTAACTGTTCGATCTAATATTATTGATTCATGGTTTAAAATAATGCCTGAAGACAGCAGTCATTTGTGTATACGAAAATGTCCACAGTATTTGAGGTTGATTAAAAGTGTTTTTTCAACAAGTAATCAGGTTGAGGATAGAAAAGTGTTTGAAATAAGTCCCACAAAAACATGCTCTTATATTTGAGGGGAACTTTGTAGAAATTTGTGACTTGTATCAGTCGGGTAGTTGTGCTATTTGAGTATAATGTTTGGCTTACAAACGTAAGTGAATCCTGTCGGTTATGCCACACCTTTCTTCAAGTTGTCAATCATGACCTATGAACTTTGAAGACTGATATATCTCCTTTAATTATGTCGACAGCATGAAAGTAACATTCCATTACATTTGAATTCTATATACTAGGATGTCCGTTTCTTTCAATCCGTTAATCTAGCGGTAGGCAATAATTTTTCAGTGAAAACACGTCTCTAATTGAACAGAATTCTTGTTTTAAGTTTGTATTAGATGGTTACATTGCTTGATGAAGATAAGCGGTTTATGTAGCCAATTAGTATAGGCATGCAGAAATCTTGTATCTACCATTGATTTCTGTTAAACGAGCTACGAGGGCTTACGGTAATGTAGTTGTGGAGAGTATTTTTAATGATAACCGTTCGGTTTGCTTTAGGCATTACTGTCTTTCACTACTCCCACCTTCTTATCTTATCTGACGTTTGTTGGGCTCTCTTTCCGTCTCACCTTGTTCAGTAGATGACTACTTGCTTTTGGTCTTAGATGTCATGTTTTTGTCCTGTTTTTCTTAATACTATTCTCTATGATATTTTTGCTAACCTTTATCTATACTTCTCGTTTTCTTTTTCATCTGACCGTTTCTTTACACTTTTTCTCCATGTTTTTCATTAGATTACTCATTTTCGATAGAAGATGAAATTCATCAACCTTATTTCATGGAAACTTAAGTGATACTAATAGCAGTGGTCTTAATAGCCCCTGTATTTGAAACTGAGTTGCTCTCATACAATAAAGAACTTTTCAACATTTTAATACTACATTAAATTTACTCTTTAGACTAAACACTGAATAATTATTCAATGAATGAATTTATGTTAGTAAAAATAATAATCTAGAGAAGAAAATGTAACTAATTAATAGAATTAAACAACTGTTGATTTTAATGATTACAAAGTGTTTGAGTACACTTAGGTAGTTGGAGGCAATCGGCAGGAAGCCTAAGACCTCGATTTCCTGCTAGTTGGCACTCACCAGTCACCAAAGAACTCATATCGCTTCTGAGATTGGAACCCGCATCACCCAGTGTAAATACGCTTTGCTGACAAAAGCACAAAAGGTAGGTCCAAGGCTTCCCGTCGATTGCCTCCAAACATTTAATATCATCAAATTAATGTGCACCGTGATGGTGAGCTATCTTGAATGGCGGTCACATTTTGAACCTGACTGATAGAATTCAGTCTGCACCAACAAAGGTCTAGACATATCTCACTAGTTACTGGTGTCCAATCAAAGTATGCAGTATGCATGCTAACACTCTAGTTGTGGTTTTGTGTTTTGAAGTACGAATATAACGTCTTATACGAAAATGCTTTCAACTTTTTATGAAATAAGCCATGGAAGAAGTTGTAAAAACAGAGAATGTTCAAGATAGTTACTGGTATAATGGTTGCTAACCATGCAAAGGGTTCGCGTTTGATTCCCGACCAACTCAATCTCTCCTAGCTGATAGTAAGCCCGTGGAAGAGGAAATGCCGAGTGTGAGGTTAGCAACTCGACTTTGTAAAAATCACACTATCACTATTGAAACTCTAAAGTTAAAGCCATAAGCCCTATATTCCATTTGAAAAGCAAATGAATGAATATATATAATATCAAGATAACTTTGAACAACTATTTGAAAGAATTGTAATATCTGTTATTTACAGTATGTGTTATTAGAGCACACCAATTATCATAATTACAGTATTGAAAATGCTACGAAATATATAACACAATGTCTTCTTTAAAATCGTGGGAAGTTAAAACCGGAAACATGATAAAGATGAGTAGAATACACGAATTAATAAATTACAAAGAAGAGGAAGAGTTCTACCAAACAGCTTTAGCTTCCATAAGTAATCAGTCAAGCGAATTATGTTTTGGAATCTATTAATGCATGAGATAAATAACAGAAATTAGAAGAAATGATAATACAAATGTAGGCGATATCGAATAATCTTTTGCTAAAATATCATTGGTTTTACAAATTTCATGGAAGTAAAGCAATCCACAGAAGTTTTACTGACACTTGGAAACAAAAGTAACGGTTTAACAATTAAGGTGATTGAATTTAAGACCATGGGAATAAGAAAATTGGGAAATTTTGCCTAGGGAAAATTTGTGGGAGCAACCCGACGATAAAACTGCTAGAAAGGTAGAAATGAAGAAAATAAGGCACCTTGAGGTACGCTATATACAATGAGTAGGACGCCCACCTTTAAAGATAATGGCGATAGGTACAAAATTCGAATTGGGTCTAAGACATAAAGATTTAGATATGAATGCAGTTTTACTCTTCCTCCAACTGTTATGTGTTTGTGGAAAATAACACGTTAAAATTACACAAAATATTCGAAAACATTTGCGAAAATAATGCTTAGCGGATCATTATGACCTAGGGTTTTGCTTGTATTCAAGGATATGATAGAATTTAGAATGTAATTTATGTTAAAATCCTGATAAATTTGTCGGGATACCTATTTTCAGTCAAGTTATCATATGCAATCCTTAGTTCATCTTCATTTAACTCTTCTGGGAAAATAGCTGTAACCCTGTGACTGAGGGTCCTTGCTAATTTTCTTTTGTACTGGAGAAGAACGAAGCTGTGAAAATGTGTATGTTATCCCGTACATGTGCTTTTCCTATGCAAATTTCTCTTTATAGTACCATCTGGTTTTCTTGTAAGAAGGATGTCTAGGAAGCCAATTCTATTCTGGCATTCCTCTTTGCATGTGAATTTCATAGCAGAATGTACTTCGTTTACTTGGGTTTTTATTTTATTCCTGTCCGAATCATTATAACAAGGAATAAAGGCGTTATCTATATAACGGCAAAAAAATGAGAATTTCTTGATAAGGTTGTTCAAAAGTTCATTTTCTAATTTACTTAGAAAAAAAATCTGCCCAAATGGAACCCAATGGGGAGCTCATTGCTACCCCGTCCACTTGTCTGTAAACTGCGCCATCAAATTTGAAATTTACATTCATGGTACACCGTAATGGCAATTTTTCGGGAATTTCCGTTGAGATGATAGTATTTATCAACTAGTGATGCATTTGTTCACATATATAGTTAGCCGTTTCTACTAGAGGTACATTTGTGCATAAAGATGTTATGTCCAAAGAAATCATAGTTTTATCCCTGATATTAATATCGTTGATTTTGTTTACGAATTCAAATATATGTTTGTCGCTGTTTCACTATCAGCTCATGCGAAGGTTTAATGATATTTACTAACTATCTAGCTAGAGCATCGTAGGGCGAATTTAATATATCAAGTATTGGTTTCAACGGTACTTCCGGTTTATGTATTCTAGCTAGGCAATACATTCTTGGCGTGTTCGTGCCCGTTGGCCTGATTTCTCTCTCAGGAAATAAATTTTCTTCCCTTGGTTTCTTTAAACGTTTGACATTCAGTGTATGTTTAGATTGATGCTATCAAACTGTAATCCACTAATATTATTATTGATTCGATATTATTTAAACAACATTAATGTTGGTAATAACACTAATTCATTCACTAATATGTATACATAATTGTAGAACCTGGTGATGAAGGGGTTGTCGAAAAGAATATTCTGTGTTCAGTAACCGAACTTCTGGTTCTATTTATATTCAAATATTTTCTATTTTCAGTGGTATAAAACCGTCATTTCTGTAGGGTTACACGCAGGGATAAATTACTTATTTCCCCAGATATATACATTCACTTTGTTAATCATATAAAAACCATCCATTTTATTATTTTGTAGTGCTATCTTCGATACAAACTATTTGTTATTAAGGTGGATTCTCTATTGCGAAAATACACAGAAGTTTTAGTTTACTCACATATGTATAGATCTTTCTATAGTACCTTCGTGATAGGAATTTAGAAAAACTTAGACCGTATAATCTTTACTCAGGAATTAAAATTAAACAAATGACTGTACAACTTTACATTCCTTTCATTTTGTACGATGTAACTGTTTGAAACAACAATGAATTAAGCTTTCAAATTAATAAATATACAACAACAAGGAATATAACATCGTAAATTAGTATGGTTTGTATTGATTAGGGCATATTATTCATTATTGAATATTTCAAATTCTGTCTGAAAAATAAAAACAATTAAATATGAATACTGTTATTATTATATTCAGTGTGTGAAGTTGACAGATCCCATAGCTTCTTATCAGTTTTTCTCCTAATAGCTCATAAGATGTATTATAAAATACAAAATGATTTGAATAGGTATTTGCCTCCAACCATCTAATACCAACGATTTGAACTTGTATTTGTCAAAATTTCTTTTATTTGGTACAGTGCAATGAATGTTATGAGTGCCCACTAGCATGAAGCCTAGGCCTAAAGCTTCCTGCCGATTACCTCCAACCACATGTCTGTCTAATTTCGACATAGAACTTTGCACATATGTGCGGCAGTTCAAGTCGCACCACACTCCCTCATTGTAGCACACAAAGCAAGAGAAGAAAGTAGAAGAAATGCATATTAGATACAGTAAACTGAGGTGTGAGACAAAGGAATAGCAGTAACGAAGAACAAAACAGTTTCATTGAAGATCATAAGTCACAGGGAGTGGATGCATCTGCGCCACTGAGAACGATTTTGAGCCATGTCACCAATTGTTTCCAACCATTAATTTTTACCGTCCCGAGGACCCCGACCAGTCAGGAAGTCTACACCTTCCTACGTGACTTAGACTAACTGTTGTAGATTTCATTGACTGGTGCCATGTTTTGGTTTGACCGCCGCTAGCTCTTTTTCAGCCTGACCCTTTATCATCTAACATTGCCCATTGTTGAGGAAGGCGATGACTAGGCATACCTAACACATGTCCTAACCATCTCAGTCTATGTAATTTCACAGAGGTGTGAGACAAAGGAATAGTAATAAAGAAAAGCAATATATAGTTTCACTGGAAATTATAAGTCTCAACGACCACTTAACATCAACAATCTCTAAGTAAATATATACAGCGTGATCTTAACTCTTGAGTAACGGCATAACCTCATAATATCCCTAACGATATTATTTTTACCGACCAGAACATCTCATTGTAAGTATTTTTCCCTTTCATTCATTATAGCCTGATGTTCAGATAATCTGTGGCAGGTGAAAGAAATAAGAAGCATTTCAGCACAATCCATGGCAGTATTATCTATCTGTATATCCCTTAGCTAAAAACCTGTTCTAGAATTATTCTGATTATTTTGGGTTGAAATACCGGATTTCAAATAATAACAATAAAATTCTATTGGTAGTTTTAAAATGAATACGACTTCATTAACTTTTTCTTACTTCTCCGAGATCCGAGTAGTTCTGCATATTTTAAGTCAACGAGATTATTCCCTGGTAGCAAGTCAATCCCTGAATCGCTGAAGTGAGTTAGGGTTAAGTCCATTAGTACATCTATGATGAAGTTGAATAGAAATGGGGATAATGGGTATCCTCGACGGACATCACTAGTTGTCACCAAAACATGGCACCAGTCAATGAAATCTACAACAGTTAGTCTAAGTCACGTAGGAAGGTGTAGACTTCCTGACTGGTCGGGGTCCTCGGGACGGTAAAAATTAATGGTTGGAAACAACTGGTGATATGACTCAAATTCGTTCTCAATGGCTAGTGCAGATGCATCCACTCCTTGTGACTTATGATTTCCAATGAAACTGTTTTGTTCTTCGTTACTGCTATTCCTTTGTCTCACACCTCTGTTTACTGTATCTAATATGCATTTCTTCTACTTTCTTCTCTTGCTTTGTGTGCTACAATGAGGGAGTGTGGTGCGACTTGAACTGCCGCACATATGTGCAAAGTTCTATGTCGAAATTAGACAGACAGACAGACAGACAGAGTGGTTCATAGGTTTCAAAGTTTCAGTAGAGTTTGAATCTCTTCTTTTACGAGATGAAGTTCTAACCACACGCTCAATCTTCCCTTTCCTCTTGGTTTACGACTGGCTAGTTAACTCGGCAAGGTATAAAACAGGCGAAGGACGGAGATCAGAGTTTGCCTTAGTTGTTGGCTGGAGAGCACTCTACACCTAGACACCCTATCTACTCAATCTGATTCTATGATATAAAGTTAATTAATTAATATTACGACCATAGACAACAATTCGAAAACACCCCCATCTTATCGCTTTTTTATTCGTTTTTATAATTAACGCACGAAATGCTTTACTTACAAATCACATTTCAAATCGCAATAAGAAAATAACAAAACAAGCAAATAGAATTATTTTTATTATATGTAAATACATTTATATATGTATACATATATATTTATTTACCTTTTTAATGATAATGTCAATTTTAATTATAATAATATTATATTGATACAGCAGTACATTTCACGTTTAACTGAAACAAAGTGAGAGAATTCTTAGTTTATCACTAGTATATAGAAGTATGATATTATGCATATATATTACTAAAACCTAATAATCTCCCTTTGCCTTTTCAAAATGTCAAATTAGCTTGAAAAATTGCACTATGCAATATGTATATATATGTATATATATACATAAGTGTATATACATTTGTCCGTTTGCATATGAAAATTCAAGGTAAAGATATCTTTTTTTGAGGAGATTACGTAGAAATCGTTATTTTATGAAAACGATACATTTCTTCGACGATGATTTTGTGATGAATTTGATTCTGGCATTCTTTTTGATAACTTAGATGTTTTATTTAACATCTGATAATTGTTACTGTTGTTATTACTTTCTTGTCGACGATAATTTGGTCTTGAACGTGATCTTTGTTGATCTCTTCTTCTATTAGGCTGTTGTCTTGGTGCACGTCTGGCTGAACGACTTCTTTGTCTATTGGCTTGTTGTTGTTGTTGTTGACGAGATCGTGATCGTTGATTAGGTCTTCGATTTCTTGGATTAGGTCTTGCACGAGGAGAACGTTGTTGCCTTCGATTATCTCTGTTTCTTTGTTCTCTTGGATCATCTAACAATGACTCTTCCTCTTCCTCTTCCTCATCATCTTGTTCAGCATTGTGATTATTACAATCTTGTAAGTAGTCAGGGTTCATGTCGTCCGAAGCCTAGATGTTATCTGTAAGTAATGACTATTTCGCCTCTTAAATTAATTAATTCAAACTAATTGACTTTTAGGATCGATAATTTAATAATATTGATTAATTTCTACATCATTTCTTTAACGTATACACTGAATAGTTATAGTTAAAGCTTTTATAACAAAATCATAAAATCATTTATCAGCGATATTCACTGGCTTAATTTTGTTAGTTTATTTTAAAGGTCTGAGTGAACGATTATAAATAGGGACATCCTTTATCTGTTTAGAGCAAAAACGTGGTCTGATTAATAAACTAATAGTAGTTTGATAAATAGAGGTGATGCATTGGTAATCTCAGCTTATCAGTATTTCTTATCCAAACTCTTTGTTATTTGACTGTGTGTTTAAAGTTTTGGAGGGATAAGCCGATTTATTTATTTGGTGGACGATGATTAACAGTGGAATCCACAATACTCATTTTATCCAATTTGAGACTTATCGCCCGGATAAACTTGCAGTCCCTAGTGAGCGATGGTATTCCCACCTAGACTGGACCACTGCACCCATAACACCGAACGCCAAAGCACTACTCTCTAAACAACTTGAGCCACAAAAGCCACCTCTTTTGTAATGGGTATCACTTATTATTTGTTTAAATCCATTTCTTTTTTTCCCACTGATTTACTGGACATAGTCGAAGTGTCCGTACGAGAAGCCTACATGTAAAGAGAGGCCGAACATTTTGGTCCAACCAATCAAAGGGGAAGACAAAACTGACAAGTATTTAGTTTGCCCAAAATACTAACACTAACCTCGCCTAGTCTACTAGCTGTCTAGGTTCCTAGCCGGTCCCAAGCCCGAGTAAAGAGGGAGGGTCGGCTATGGGGCTAACAACCCTACCCCACAAAACCAAACAATCTGCTAAATAAACTTCTAAGCACAAGAAAAATATCAGAAATAGAAAAAGTGTAAAAAACAAACTTATTCGTTGCTGCAATCGGAGAGGGGAAGTGATGCGGGCTGGTGAAGGCCAGTCTGCCAGCCAGCCGATGAAAGCAAAAATAAGAATGGGGACGTGGAATGTCCGTACAATGTGCGAATTCGGCAAGGAAGGCTGCCTAGGTGACCAAAGAAATGAGAAGATATGGTATAGAAGTGCTGAGTCGCGGCAAGGAATAGCTGTCAATGGACACCACCTGGAAGCTAATAGAAGAGGGGACAAGAGGATGGTGAAAAAGAAGATGACTCAATGCAAAGATGGACAAGAGAATAGAAGGAGAAGCCGAGTTCAATGCACATTGTACTGAAGGAAGAAGTGAAGAGTGCTAGGTAGGACAAGAGACACACTGGAAACTGAAGCAGAACAGACAGGCTGCAGTTAAAAGAGACCTGGGAACATTATATCAGATGAGTAGGTCTCTATCCGGGAAAATATCAATTCAAGTGATGAATTCAACAAAAGATGTTCAAGGAAACCTATTCACCATGGAGGAGGAACAAGTAAAACAATGGACTGATCACTTTAGAGGACTGTTGAGTTGACCATCACCTGCAACTCGCCCACAAATACCCCCACCACAAACAGCACGCACAGGACTGCCTGCCAGTGGACACCAGTCCTCCAGCTTAAGCAGAAATCTTGAATACGATGTAGCTACTGAAGTCCGGTCGGGAACGCAGCAGGGCCAGACAGAATGGCCCGAAGCACTAAAAATGGACACAGAGGCTGCAGCAGATATGTTCACGGAATTACTGCAAGAGGTTTGGATGGAAGGAAGAGCAGCTAATGATTGGAAGAAAGGTTACCATGTCAAACTACCAAAGAAGGATGACTTACGCCTCAAGTTTTTATCAACCTCATTCAACAGCTGGCTATATGATAATGCCATGTGTCAAGTGATCCATAAAGCCAAACTCCGCGGGCCGTTTGAAGTGAATACAGGAGTAAGACGATGCTGGCTGCCTATTATCACCGATGATAATCCTAGTTGTGGTGGACTGGTATTGCATCAAACTGTGTACTTTGACTAAGAAGACAGGAGTATGTTGGACCACTGATAAGAAGACTCTAGAAGATCTGGATTTTTCCTGTGGATAATTTATGTAGAATGTCACACAAACTAGTAGGCTTGCAGGCGAAAATCAACAAACTGGCTGAAGAGGCTGGAGGCGAAGACAGGACTCTAGTGGCGCATAGAGAAGACGGAGTATATGAAGATGACCAAACAATACCAATAGAAACGACAACCATCACCAATCACCACCAATGGGAGAGATTTGATAGAGGTTACTTCCTTCACTTATCTGACCAAGAAGCACGGTTTTAACTACAGGCAGTTGGAACGGATGAAGATGTCAGAAGTAGGCAGCCAGAATCGGAAAGGCAACATACGCTCTAAACCAACCTGAAACCAGCTTCGAAATCTTCTGCACTTCACTCAGCCACTATAAACAACGGGATACGGATTTTGAACACAAATGTGAAGTCAGTCAGCTGGTTCTTCAATACAAGTCGGAAACGTGCACTGTGTGTCACGAAAAGTATTTCTAACAGGCTACTGCAGACTTTTATCAACAGCTGCCTTCGTCACATTCATGCTGAAGATGAAATGCCCAGACTGAAGGAATTAGCAACAAGAAACTCTGGGTGGGAGCAAACTAATAAAGAGCTTATTGCTCAACAAATATGCAGTAGAAAATGGTGATGGATGGATCGGGCATACATTGAGGAGGCGCGCCAGGCCACCACTCGAGTGGAGTCTAAATGCGACGCAATGAGTAGGTCATCCTTGGGTGACATGGAGGGGATCGTGTAGTGGGGAGGAGATAAGAGATTATGAGCACTCATGGAGCCGGATGAAGAGGACAGCAGGTAAACGTGGAGATGTGTTGTTGAAGCCCCATGTTCCACTTGGAACCTAAGGGAATGATAATAATTATTCAGTGCTTACAATACAGGAGATTCCACTTCATAAATACAGGACTCATTTGGATAATCTTCCTTTTGAATCATTTATTGTGTTTACTGAGTTTAATCTGAAACCAGATTTTTCCGATCGCCTAATTTTTAATTTTTCCTTCACGTTCCCAGTGGAACATAGGGCTTCAAGCCAGTGGCTTGAAGTGTCTGTAGCAGTGTTTATTTTTACAGGATGGGGTTGCTAGCCTCATGCCCAACCTTTCCTCTTTATCAGCATTTTTTCTGGCTCAGCAAGGTAAAGGAGTATGTCGGCCGGGGATCGAACCTCGGACCATATGCGTGGTCCAATCATCAAATATCAACAATTCGAAGTGTACCGTGATGGCCACGTTGCAAACTTGACCCAAAAAATTCAGTCTGCACCAATCAAAGGACTAGACACACTACACTAGTCTCTCACTAGTGTCCAAACAAAGTATCAAAGGTGACTAAAAATTTATATTACTGTATTGTTTAAATACTTACTGTTGTTTGTTAATATTTATTATGTAAATTACAATTACTTCTGTCAAATACCAATGCATAAATTCCGCCTTCTCTTTGCTTTTTGGTATCTTGTCATTTTGTCATCGCGAAATACCACTATTACAAATAATTATCACATTTTGGCATCGTTATAGAATTAAATAATCTTGGCAAGTATCCTATCAACGGTTCGCCGCGGGAAATCGCCAAATATTTTGACTGCTTTGAAACATAGTGTATGTCAAAGAATGTCCGTGATGACAAAATTTCAGCTTATTTTATTACTTTTATTGAACTACATGCCTACTGTCTAGTGAAAAATTTGTCATTTCCAGATAAACCAATTTTTTTTTATGGTTACAGCTTGATTCCACACCGTATTTTTGGTACAAGTGTGGAATTTTCAGCGTGGATATCGGTAGCCCAAAATTCGCAGGCCAACCATAGATATCAGGTGTGCGTCGGCTATATGATAAGCTTCGTGGATTTCTAATAGATCACTTCCATATAACTGCTTTTGAAACATGAGAGAGGGCTCATCTTAACAAACTTGTTCGTGCTCCTAACCAGAAGATTAGAAACTTTATTCTTCAACTTCAGATAGAAACTTCAAAGTGCAACTTTGGTGATCAGCTCCATTCACAATTACGTGATGGTCTGATTGCTGGGATCAATATTCCTAATTTAGAGAAAGAGTTGGTTCAGAATCTTTTCTGCACCTTTCAAACTGATAAGGATTTATGTATTACATATGAAGATGTCAACAATGAATATCCAGCTCCCACTAAGTCAGTGTCTGTCATGCTGTCCAAAATTGATAATACAAGTTTTCATAGAAAGAAATTCAAACTGTCATCCACATGTAATCGAATGCAGACAGAGAGCAAAAACATCAAACCGCGTTTTTCCTGTGAAAAGATTCATCTACGAAGCACGTGCTATTTTCGTGGTGTTAAGTGAAATAAATGTGGTAAAATTGGGCACATAAAGTCTGTTTGCTGGAGTTCGAATACTTATTCTACTCATAACTCCCATGGTTCTCCTGATTTTTCTGATATAATGCAGTCAATGTCTTTTTCAACTTTTCACAGTACTGAATCTGACTTAATGAAAATCTTCACTACAAGTTCAAGCAAGTCTCACTCTTTTATAATTGATACTGGGAGTACTGAATCTATATTTTCTAATAAAGATTGACTATCGCTTTGTGCGTCGGTGGTATAGCGGTTAGGACGCTCGCCGACCATGCCTATGGTCCGGGGTTCGATCCCCGGCCGGCGCACTCCTTTACCTCACCGAGCCAGAAATAATGCTGGTAAAGAGGAAAGGTTGGGCATGAGGCTAGCAACCCCATCCTGTAAAAATTTAACACTGCTACAGAAACTTCAAGCCACTAGCTTGGAGCCCTATGTTCCACTGGGAACGTGAAGGAAAAAAAAAATCGCTTTGTGAGCTTGCACAAGTAGATCCTACTACTAGCTCCATTTCACGTATTACTGGTCATAAACCACCTCTTATTGGTACTACTAACATTGGTTTGAAATCAGACTGGTAGTTTTGTGAATACG